CATTTCTGTTTCTGCCTGGCAGTACAGAGCATGGTGCTAGCTCCTGCCAGACAGTGTACTGCTCAGTACATGTGGGGAAGAAATATTAGGTGTATTAAGGGAAATTACTTAAACATTATCCATTACTATGCACCCATGCACAGTTTTTGGACCAATTCCTATACCCTGCGTGTAGCATTAACACATCCAATCAAAAATGGCGTGGAACCATGTATGGGTGACAAAAAAACTAAAAACTTGTATAAGGAAATGCCCCTCTTTGTTCCAGGCTCCATCTTTTGGATAAGAATCCAGCTGAGCCTTATGCTGGCTGATAAAAGACTACTTCCTAGGCCTTAGTGTTAGGCCTTGCTCTCCCCCTCTGTTCACGATTCCCGCTACACTCACAGCACCGGCATCTCAAATCTGAGCACCTATTGAGTCCCAGGAGCTCCATTTCCAATCCAGTTATCAGCTAAAGTGCTGGGGTGGCAGTGGAGGATGGCCCAAGTATTCAGGCCCCTGGAAACCCATGCTGGATGCCCAGGTGGGGTTTCTGGTACCTGGCTTTGGCCTGGCCCAGTGGATGGACAATTGGACAATCTCTCTCTCTCTCTCTCTCTCTCTTTCTCTCTCTCCCCCTCTCCTTGTAAAATCAATACATCTTTAAACTGTAAAGTGAACAAGGTAGAACTATACATTGTAGCCATGCTTCCTGTGGATGATGAGAGGATTCAGTGGTCACAGAACTAGTCTTAGACCGTAAAGGACTCACTGTACTTGAGCCACATCCATGGCTCAAAATGTGGGGAGATGATCCAAGATGAAGAAAACTTCCTGGGATGTTTAGATTTGTAGATAGTGGAGGAAATTGGTGTGGTTCTTTCCTTTTGCGTGCTTGTTTGCTTGCGTGCTTGCTTTGCAATCCCATTCTTTAAAAAAATTTAATACTATAAAGAAAACATATTTCATGTATTTTATGGGTACAATTCTAAGAAGATAACCATACTTCCCTCCCTGCTTCACTCCCTCTCTTAAGTCTCCTCCTTACTTTCTTTATTCCCTTAATTTTTGCAAAAACATAACTTATTTATAAAGATTTATTTTGTTTATTTGAAAGACAGAGTTACAGAGAGAGGTAGAGAAAGAGAAAGATTGGTCTTCCACTCCGCTGGTTCACTGCCCAAATGACTACAATGGCCAGAGCAGAGCTGATCTGAAGCCAGGAGCCAGGAGCTTCCCCCGGGTCTCCCACGTGCCTTCAGGGGCCCAAAGACTTGGGCCATCTTCTACTGCTTTCCCAGGCCATAGCAGAGAGCTGGATTGGAAGATAAGCATCCGGGACTAGAACTGGTGCTCACATGGGATGCCGGTGCTTCAGTCCAGGGCTTTAACTCTGCGCCATAGTGCCAGCTCCAAAAACATAACTTTAATTTACTTTTTAGTCACAGATTAAATGCACCACTAACCTAATATTCAATAAGTAAAAGTAGAAAGACCTCAGTTCCACAGGAGTATAAACAAGGGCTAAAAATAACAATCAAAGTGCAAAAATTTCTGTTTCATAGCTTTAAATTTTTTGTATTCTATATTAACTACTACGTATCAGAGAAAACAGGATTTAAGAGGGAGAGAGAGAAAGTGCTCCCATCCCCTGGTTCACTCCTGAAATGCCCCAGCTGCTGGCAGTTGGGCAAGGCCAAAGCTGGGAACTGAGAACTCAACCCAGGTTTCCCACATGAGTGGCAGGGAGCCAAGTACTTGAGCTATTACTGCTGCTTTGCAGGGTCTACATTAGCAGGAAGATAGAATCAGGAGCCAGAACTGGTATGGAACCCAGGCATTCCAATGTGAGACACAAGCATCTTAACCACGAAGCCAAATGCCTATGCTGTTTTCTTCTTTTTTGACCATAGTGATTTAATTATGAAAACCCAGAGATTTTGTGGCATGCCTTCACCTCTCTGAGCCTCATTCTCTTCTCTATAGAACAAGGGTCCAGAAGATTGTTGAGGGGGTTCAGTGGAATGAAGCAGATAGTCAGCTGGGTGCACATTCAGCAATCACTGGATGGTGGCTGTACTTATCCTTTGTTCTGAGCGTTGTGGCCTCAGGCAGTTGGGGGAGGGGGGGTGGAGAATCTAAGCCAAACAGCTCTATGGACCAACTCTCCAGGATGCCTAGGTCCATCTGCTTGCTTAGGGCTGACCTTGAAACTAGGGAAGAAGACGGTTCCTTCCTGAGTCCCATATAAGGGAAGTGGCAGAGATAAGGCTGCTCTGAGTCAGGATGGGAAGTTGCTAAGGAACAATCGGAAAGTGCCTGTTCTCTCACTGGCTTGGGGGTTGCTGATTCATTGATTTGTAGCAAGTTACTGCTCTTTACTCCAAAGAAACCTGGATCAGCACCATCACCAACACCACCACCTCCCAAACCGAGCCAAAGCCTACTTGCTTTCAAGTCTTGGCTCAAATCCTACATCTTCCGTAAGAAGACCTGACCACCCCAGCCTACAGTACCTGCTACCTCCCTGAGTCTCAGGTTCTCCAAAGGTAAAATGGGAGTACCAACTATAACCCACACAGAAGGGTTGTGATTGGGGTGGAATGGGAGGTTAGAAGTAGCCTTTCAGGTGTAGTGTCTGCACAGACCTGTGTGAATCCCCTGCCTTATTGACTTCCTACTCTGATACAGCAGGTACAGGCATCATGGCCTTGATTGGATGCTGCCTTTTATCAATGGTTTTTGGGACTGATGACCAGGCCAGTTCTCCACTCAACTGTAATGACAACAGAGGACAGGGGCCACATCTCATCCTTTCTGACCTTCTCCAATCCAGCACTAGAGTCAACAGTACAATAGCCATTTTTAATTGGGTTTTATATTGTACTCGGTGTCACATACCCTGATGCATATGTTACACATTTAGTCTTCACATTTCCACCCTATATTTTCTTTTATGTAAAAGCAGGCATAAAGAGCTGGCACTGTGGTGTAGCAGGTTAAACCAAATGTCTGCAGTGCCAGCATCCCATATGGGCACTGGTTCAAGTCTCAGATGCTCCATTTCCAATCCAGCTCCCTGATAATGCATCTGGAAAAGCAGCGGAGGATGACCCAAGAGCTTGGGCCTCTGTATGCCCACGTGGGAGACCTGGATGAAGCTCCTGGCTCCTGGCTTTGGCCTGGCCTAGCCCAGATCATTGCAGCCATTTGGTACGGAGTAAACCATCAGATGAAAAATATCTCTCTCTCTCTTTCTTCCCCCCCACTCCCTCTCCCTCTCCCTCTCCTTTCTTCCCTCCTTCTCTTGCTGTAACTCTGACTTTCAAATAAATATATTTTAAAAAATTACCCTCATTTTAAAAAACAGCAAGCATAATTCTCTGAATTGTGAAGATTGGTTTGGATCAACTAAATTACCCAAAGTCCCATAACTGGTAAGTGATCTTGCCAGGAATCAAATCTAGGTTTTACTCCAATTCTTGTCCTAGATTAAGCTCTCCACCCACACCCAATTGCTCCAAATGTCTGTGACTAGATGGCTGGGACATATGCGAGTAGATAGACATCTGTAAAGAATAAGAGAGCCTGCACCACTTTGCAGTTAGGAGAGAGAGAGGGGACAGCTACAGGAGCCAGTGTTGAGGCACAGCAGGATAAGCTACCACCACCTGGGACATGAACATCTCATATAGGAGTGCTGGTCCAAGCCCTGTCTGCTCTGCTTCTGGTCTGGCTTCCTACTAACGTGCATGAGAAAGCAGTGGATGTTCCTCAAGTACTTGGGTCTTTGACAATCACATGGGAAACCAGATGGAGTTCCAGGCACCTGATTCTTTGGCCTGGACTAGCCTCGGACATTGCAGCCCATTTGTGGATGGAAGATGGATCTCTCTCTCTCTCTCTCTCTCTCTCTCTCTGCTTTTAAATAAACAAATAAAATCTCTGTTTCAAAAACAGAGTACAAGCTATAGGTAATGCAGCTATTGGACTCAATCAGTTCCTGAGCCTAGATACAGAATAGTGTTGTCTCCAAGACGTGGGAAGTTGTTAGGTGATAGAGATAGGTGATGGGTCAAGATAAACTTGAGAGAAATCATGCCAGGGAATTCCACAGTAGCTCCAGGATCTCGAAAATTAGCAGTGGAGGACCAACTGATTGGCCATTCTCAACATGCATTGTAGAATAAGCATGGATCAAGTGAGCCTCCTTTGAAGAGTGGGATCCACCTGTAAGATTTGAGTCCCCTCACAGCCAAGGCAGGTATTTCACTCCAATTGCACTTTGGGAAGGAACTAGGACACAGTATCAAGCACGGCCATTACAACTAGATGGAGAGAAAAGCCTCACTGCACTCTTGCACTGGGGCAATGATGGGGAGACCAGGGTGGGGGCAGGTTGCCATTTAGTTGAGCAGAGCCTTGTGGCTTGTGAACCCATGGTTGTGACCTTGCTGAGCAGGCTGGAGGGCTGGTTAACCTGGGACAAAACACCCTACACCACCTTCATTGGCAGGGGCTCAGCACTTCAGGGTCATGGGACTATGCTGCAGGAGCACAAGAGCTCAGTGTCCTGACAGCCTGGGATCAGGGTTCCCTAAGTGGTTATTTGGTTCCCACAGATCTCCCAAGGGCTCTACCTAGACCAAAGGGGATTGCTTCTCTGAATGGGCTCCAGAGTTTACAACACTGCCAAACCCAGCCATCCAGGCATTGGGATTTGGGTCGTCTCAGAGACAGAGTGGGAGAGAACAGAACTTACAATATCTTTCTTGTCTCAAGAGGCCTGCCACAGTAGCATCCAACTATACTACATCCTTCTCTCTCACGAGCCCTCCACCCTGTCCTCACTTCCTATGGGGCAGTTCAGGAATCTCAAAGCAAGGAGGAAGCCTCTACCTTGCACCGCACTTAGAAAGCAGTGGGGGTACTGGCCTCATATCGAGTCCACCATTCTCCAAGAATCAGAGCCATCACACGCTTGCCTGGAGTGAAGAGCAGAGGCTAAGGGACCTTACCTCTCAGTGGAAGGAGTGTCCAGGAATGAGCAGCCTTCCTGAGCCTGGCCACAGTACAGATACGCAGTTCTTGACCTGGTACTGGAGCCACACACTGCATGCTCATGTGAGCAAGTGCTCAGTTTGCTAGGCCTCATTAGTGGACTCTGACAGGTTTTATCCTTGAGCTTTCCAGCAGGATGGCGTGTCCTATTAGGGGAATCTCTGTTTTCTGTGTCAGAGTCATTGCCCTGAAATGACATCAAGTTTGTAACCGTTATAGACATGCTTTCCCACTTGTGGGGTCCTGACAACCAGAGAAAGAGACTGCAGTGTGAGGACTTTGTGGTTGGAGCTGGACTGGAATCTGCTGCCAATCTGTGATTGCCCCAAGTGTCTGCCCTACATTCTCCTGTATTCTTCATCATCCTCTTCCTTCAGGGTCTTGTAAATTCTGAAAGTTCCATGGTGAGGCATCTCTCTCTTTGTGTCCACCCCAGGCTCTTTGAAAAAGGCGTTGTGCTCATGGCTGTGGGTCAACGGCCGCAGGTGCATCATTAGCTGAGACAGTGGAGGTAGGACTGGAGCATCTCTGATTGGATGCTGCCACCCTCCCAGTGATGCACAGGTGCCAGTCAGGAAGGTTCGGGTTTTCAAAACCAAAACCATGCAGCCTGCCAAATGCCATCTGATAGATCCAAACACATTGGAATGTAACTTCAGTTTCAAGGGAGCTTGGATAACTAGTGTTTCTGGAAATTTTGACATATTTATTTCTGCTTTGTGAGTGGTTTGTGATACATTTAAATTGATTCCGAAATATAGGTCTTGTTGAAAAAAACATAGTATGTTACATTTCTCTTACACATACCATTTTCTCCAGGTTGATGTGGACCATTTATTATTTAAGTAGGAAATCTCTTTCCCTTGATGTTTCTTTTCAGTAAATCACACCATTAGATCACAAAAGCTCACTAGTTGCCCATTTTCCTCAATCTTATGGAAATAAACGATCAGATGTAGCCACTTCCCCTTTGGGTTGGCAATGTCGAGCCCCAGTTTTCCTCTCTCCTTCCATATTTCATTTCAGTGAGCCCACCTTGCACCTCCAGTCTTGATTCAACAATCTTAGTATGTTGCATCTTAATGCTTTTTTCATGCTGCCGTTTGATTTTTCAGTTGACAAGTACAAAATCCCCAAAATATGTCAATGATTTTCACTTCTTAAAATGACTTATCACATAATATGGCATTTATGAGAACAGTATGCAAGAATGACTTGGGAAAAATATTTGGATGTCATTTGCAAATATTGGCATTTTGAAGTGGTAACAATGAGCATGGATGAAATTGAATGAGTTTTGGTGAAATGGAGTTTCTCAACTGGAACAAAGAAGTGTCTCTGAAAGTGTGGATAGCTCTGCATTGATCCTTTTGTTTCAAAAATATGCTGATGGATGTGGAAGAAAATCACAAGGCACCACCCAATTGAATATACTTGCATTGAACTATAGTGGTTCCCCCTTGTCTTGTTAGGACATATATTATATTTTTCCCAAATCTTGCAATATCCCAGGGTAATAACAAGAATGAATTCTATAAATGGGTCATTTATCCTAAGTCATGATCCATAAGAGAGCCCTTGAGGTATCATGTTCCATCATGATTCTTCTGAACAAGATCAAGCAAGCAATTAGAGGTGGGCATTTCACACAGCATTTAAGATATTCAAGCCCCTAGGTTTGAGTCCAAGCTACACTTCTCATTCCAGTATTCTGCTAAGGCATACCATGGGTAGAAACAGGTGATAGCACAAGTGTTTGGGTCCCTGCCACCAATGTGGGAAATTTGGCTTGGTTTCCAGGCCCCTGACTTTGACCTTGCTCAGCCTCAGATGTTGCAGTCATCTGGGGAGAGAACCAACATATTGAAGATCTCTCTTGTCTCTGTCTCCCTTTGTGTCTCTGTGTATTTTTGAAAAATAAATTACTTAAAAAGGAAACTTCTGTACTGACTCCTTGATCATGTGCTGTCCATGTGTCCATCCATGCCTATGCTATTCAGGGATGCTCTCTACTGTATCATTCCCAATCTGTTCTTTCTTTTGAGATTGTGGAGCTTGGTCAAAGTTTAGTAGCCTTTGTGTTTGTCTCTCCTGATATATCCTATGTCTTTTCTGATGAGCTCAAAAACAGTTTTGATCTTTGTAGATGATCCAATGTTTGTCTTGTTTAGCTGAGAGTGATGTCCCTTTTAGATTGCTACATCCTAATTAATAAGGCCATTTCCAAGTTGTTATAAAAAGTGAAAATGAAACACTTAGCTAAGCTAATTTTGGGGCTGTACAGCAAGCCACAATTAATTTCCAAGGTCTGAAATCACAAAGCATTTCTTTCACCACGAAGAGAGAAAAATACAACTTAAAAAAAAAAAAACACGATTACTCAACATTGAAATAATCTCAAAAAATTGTGGATGCCAGTAATCTCATTTCCTTTAATTGGTCACCAAATTCTCTTAACATAATGGGAGAGACAGGATGTATGTTCACCTATATCGTAAGTTTCATAGTTCATAGGATTTGAATTTCACCTCCCCCCCCAAAAAAATCATGTATAAGAGCTCTAATCTTAATTCCTCAAATGTGATCTATTTAGGGTCTTTAATGATGTAGTTGAGTTAAAGTATCATTACAGGTGCCGGCGCTGTGGAGTAGAAGGTTAAAAATCTGCCTGTGTGTGGTACCAGCATCCCATATGTTCATTGGTTTGAACCCTGGCTGCTCCACTTCTGATCCAGCTCCCTGCTAACGCACCTGGGAAAGCATAGAAGAATGGTCTAAGTCCTTGGGCCCCTGCACCCACATGGGAGACCTGCAAGAAGCTCCTGGCTCCTGGCTTTGGCCTGGCCCAAACCAAGCCATTGGGGCCATTTGGAAAGTGAACCAGTAGGTTGTGGGGAGCAATCCGGACTAGACTAAGTTACTCGAATTAGGACTTATTCTATGCATCTGCTCTCCCACAATATGGCGCTGGGAGAGAAGTAAACAGCTTCCGCACAGCTGCCTCCAGTTCAACCAATTAACTGTAGGACTTGCTCCTGATTGGAGAGCAGCGTACTCAGCCGAGTTGGGATTGGCGGAGGAGGACTATAAAGGAGGAGAGAGACGGCATGCACCAGGGAACATCTATGGGGAACATCTAAGGGAACCCGTGCAGCCCCCGAGAGAACCGGCCGGCAGTGTGCCGCTCCCCTGCGGAAGTGGGGAATGCGGCCAGGGGGAACTGCCCTTCCACGGAGGTGGAAGGGATAGTAGCCAACCCGGGAAGAACCAGCAGCAAACCCGGGGAGGGCCGAGCAGACGAAAGAACAGCGCAGGGTCTTGTGTTGCTCCTCCACGAAGAGGGGGAGCGACATAATGGTGCCGTGACTCGGATATGAAGCCTAGACAGGGTTTAGTGTTGCTCCTCCACGAAGAGGGGGAGCGACATAATGGTGCCGTGACTCGGATATGAAGCCTAGGCAGGGTTTAGTGTCGTTCCTCCACGAAGAGGGGGAGCGACATAATGGTGCCGTGACTCGGATATGAAGCCTAGGCAGGGTTTAGTGTTGCTCCTCCACGAAGAGGGGGAGCGACATAATGGTGCCGTGACTCGGATAGGAAACCTAGGAGGGAAAGACCGGGAAGAGGTGCAAAATATCGGAGAGAGAGACTAGTAAACAGCCTAGGGAAAAGCCGGACGAAAAAGGAGCCGGAAGAAGCTATTGAAAGCCTAGGCATAGACTCGGATTCGGACTACGGGGGGAAGCTGGGAGAAATCTCTAAGGTCGAAAGCGAAAGTGAAAGCTAGAACAAACAGACTCGGATGCGGACTGTGGGGAGAGGCCAGGAGAAATGAGGGAGGAATATCGTTGGAGGAAAGCTTGGGGAAACATACCGGGTAGAGAAAAATGTTAGGGAAATTGAAGCCGCGGGGGGCAGGCCAAGGCGGAAACGAAAGCCACTTTGGGATTCTCAAGTTAGCCCGGGAATAGGGGGCGAAAAGTTGAAACCAGAAGCTGAGACGTAAGCCAGATTGGGATCCGTCTGATTAGCCCGGGGAGCAAAGGACGGGAAGCCAAATCGTGGGGCGGAGACGTACGCTGGGTTGAATTCGCCAGGCTAGCCCGGGGAACTTAGATTGAACCCTAGTGGCGGAGACGCAAGCTACGCTGTGTTACTCGCGGAAGCCGCCGCGTGCAGAGAGAGCACGGGGCGTGAATAGATAGGGAACGCTGGCGTAGGCCGTGGTTCAGACGCGAAAGGGTTAAGCGTGGAGACCGCGGACCGCGCAAAGCCGGGAAGCCGCGCAGAGAGGCGCGCAGGCTGAAGCGGCGCAGAGCCGGGAACCCGCCGGCGGGGCGAGGTGCCGGAAAGCCGCAGGGATAAGAGAAACAGAAGTTTGGAAGTGAAGTAAAAGAGAAATGGGAATGCTGGAAGATAGAAGTGAAATGGGAGAGGTAGGAATGCCCGGAGATAGAGAAATAGAGAAAAATAAGGCCTCCCCTCAACATGCCAATTAGAAGGCTTGGATTCGGTCTGCCTAATCAAGTGAGGCGATGAGCACCTGCGGGCAGCTAGCAGCTTATGCGCCGCAGGTCACCGAAGACAGGCACGAATTAACATCAGTAAGGCTTCCCCACAATACAACAATATTAAGCTTGGATTCGGTCTGCCTGATTTAAGGCGGTAAGCGCCAGCAAAGCTCGACCAGAGTATGAGCTGCAGGTCACCGAAGATAGGCACGAACCAACACTAATAAGTCTCCCCCACAATACGGCAATGAGAAGGCTTGGATTCGGTTTGCCTGATAGGTTTTGTAAACACCTGCAGGCAGTTCTAGCAGAGCAGAGCATGCGCTGCAGAGCACCGAACACAGGCACGCATCAGCGCCTAAAAACCTCCTCACAATGAGCGAAGAGAGGACCCGGATTCGAGTTCTCCCTGATTGATAGGACTTGTAAGAGCCTGTGGCAACTCTAGCAAGTAGAGCAGAGTGTGTGCTGCGGGACACCGAAGACAGGCGCGTATCAACGCCAAAAATAAAAAGAAAGGGGGATCTGTGGGGAGCAAACCGGACTAGACTAAGTTACTCGAATTAGGACTTATTCTATGCATCTGCTCTCCCACAATATGGCGCTGGGAGAGAAGTAAACAGCTTCCGCACAGCTGCCTCCAGTTCAACCAATTAACTGTAGGACTTGCTCCTGATTGGAGAGCAGCGTACTCAGCCGAGTTGGGATTGGC